GAGAATGATCAGCTTGTAACCTATAAAACAAACCAGTTTCATCCATATTAAAAACATCTTTTAGTGGAAACTTATCTACTTTCTCCCTTATAGCCTCCAGCTTATTCTCCATGTCATGTATATCAACTGATCCACTCTCTCCAAAACGACGAAAAGATTTGATACCATGTCGTAACTTAAACTTTTCAAGCCAGCCTTGAGATAATTGATGCTCTGAATCTTGTTGAGGATTTAGAAGTTTCATCGTAACTTTTGCCTTCTCCAGTATTAGTTCTCCAGTCATATTCACTTGATTTTGATGTTGGAGAAACCACTCAAAAACAACCTTCTCCATATCTGGAAATTTTGCTGGTTTGTGTCGCTTAGTAGCTTTGCCTTTTTCTGTGTTAGTTGAAAGATACTCAGCTGAACGTTTGAGTGTGTTTGAAATTGTACCTTGGCTAATTTTTAAATGAAATTTCTCTTCAATCCACGACTGTAACTCTCGTTGCGTACATGCCATATGATCTCTCTTGTACTCACATAATTCTCTACGAATCTGATCTGTCATCGTTGATTTGGAAACACCTTTGAGATGAGACACCATTGTTGACTTTCTATACTATCAAAGACCTAAGAAAATCACGTCTCTAAAATTTTAGTAATACAAAACCAAACTAAGGCTTCAATGTTCCTTATGTAAAAACTTCTACGTGATGCACTAAATAATAAGGAAATAAAAAAATAGAAAAATTCATAAAACAATATGTAAACTATATATAAAAGTATAGAAACTATATACTGTATTAAGACAATTCTATAAAAATATGAATATATATTTAAAACTTCTTATTTTTAATAGTAAATTTTCAGAAATTAGAAAATCAGCAAATCTCTTTATAAATTAATAAATTATTAATTTATCGATAAATTTATCGATAAATTAATACCTCTATAAATTAATAGAATTTGCTAGTCCCAACATTATTAATTTATAGAGGTTTTACTGTATAGTGTATAGCAAAAGTATTACATAATTGGGTCTTCAATTTATTATGTATTTATTACCTCAAGTATTAGAGAGATAATTTTGGTTATTGAGATATCATTGGTTATCCGAGTTGAAAGAAGTGGTCGACGTATTCCAAAATAATAGTGGCATGTTTTTTACTTATTTTATCGTATCAACAAAAATATCATGCCATATTTGTCTACTTTTGACAAAGCTTATTGGTATTTTCAGACCTAGAACTTTGCAAACGGGCAGCGAATAACAATGTTTATTGGTTTTTTTCAGACCTACCTAGAACTTTGTAACCGGGCAGTGAATGACAGAGTTTTGTATTGGTTTGCACACCTAGAACTTGGCAAGGGGGCAGCGAATAATATAGCTCATTATCTTTTGTATGCTTTACTGATTTTAGTTCCTTGCTTGTGCAATTTTATATTTCGGTTTGTTACGATCATATTTATTGTGGCTGATGATAATCCGGTAAGTATAACTGATTTCTTTAGCAAAAAAACTTTGAAGTATGAAGAATCCAAAGAAACTTGCGTTCGCTTCTTCTCTTTTGCTGTCTACTTTTGACTTCATGTTTGGCTTTTGTATTTCTTTTAGTTTGGCTTCGGTTTTGGGCTTTTTTTTCTATATTTTTAGCTTTTTAGGTTTCAAAAGAACAAAAGTAAAATAAATTATATACTAGTTAAATCTATATTATTAATTATTTAATTATCAAGCTCCGAGTCATAATATTATTCAAGATACAGGCCTAAATACATGTATCAGCGGAATGTGAAACTACGTACCAGGCTCATTATTTTGGCCCATATGATAAATATCAGGAGCTGCACTTAAAATTTTTACAATCTCTTCTTGGGTCGACTAAAAGTCAAATGCAATTCATATCTAAACCATATATGGGTCTATAGAGAGCTTCTGGGGCCACAAGATTAATTGAAATCTAGTCAAAAGAAGAAGAAATAGCCAGCGAGTATACAGCCCAAATAAAAATGTAAAACTGAATCATTTTCTCCTTTTTTTGTATCCGTAATCTACAATATCAGTTTTACGGATACATTGATAAATGACACTAGCTAGTAATCACTAATCACGCTAAGGTAAAGAGATAAGTCATCGGTGGCTGCAGGCTGCGTATCAGAAACTTTGCCGTGAGAATTACTGCTGCATATGGGAATTTCACCTGCTCCATCAGCCGATATCAAGTCCATATGTTTCAAAATAAGTCCCCCACATCCTACTGTTTAATTTGCTTCAAAATTGTAGCTAAGTAGTACCCCAAAAAATGAAGTCGGTTTAACATTATTTTTTCTTTTGGGGTTACAATCGCGACCTCAGCCGTATTTGCCGCAAATGCTGCCCCGTATATAGAGTATTATAGATATGCAAAAGTTAAACATACGTATAGATAGACGTACAGTATATGTAAAGAGACATGTGGTGTACACGTGAGTCATCTGTCTTTCGATCTCCAACAGCTCCGTATTTGGTGACACCAACTATTTTGCGAGAAAAAACAAAAAAAAAAAGCTTGTATAGTACACTCTACACTCTACACACACAAGAATATAATCCACAAATATTCCCTGCATTGTTTTTCATATATAATTAATAAGTAGTTAGATAATCAGATAAATTGGCTGCTTTGTTTCCTTGATTGGTACATGATGATATGTAATAAATCGTCCCGGTTGCATCGACCAATGTTAAGCTGATGATGTTTAAGATAAGTTAGGTGCATCGTGTCACTATGATGCTATCTTTAAGGTTTACGCCAATTTCGCTTTACATCGTGCTTCCTAATCTTATAATTTATATATATAAGATATTATACTTATCTCCACCACAATTATAGTCTTGTAACGATATATAAAAATGACATTTGAAGTCATAATTAGTAAAAGCTCTAAATGTCAATACGCTTTAGAAAAGATTAGGATTTTGTTCTTAAGCAATAGTGTTGATAGGATGAATGTGATAGCACATCTCTTCTTTTTTTTTCTTTTGGGCAGAAGAAACTTTATACTTTGATATGATACATTGTATAAATCCCCAACCCGCACGTTCTGAATGTGAGAAAATATTTTAATTTTATACAACTATCCAATCTTATAAACCGAGAATAGATGTGTGAGAGATCCAATAATGATAAAGCATAATAATTAAATTATTAGTATTAGTAAAATCAGGAGAGTAGTGAGTGGGTTCATGTAATTATGCGAACACGTAGTTGCCTCTGAAAAGTAACACCATGGCATAAAGTTTCTCACAAGATGGACGGTTAAGATTCAGCTTAGGAAACGACGTCGCTAGCATATGGGATGCAGAACGTTGGGCGCACGATTTGGATATATCTTTCTTTGTCTCTCCCAAATTCCCCCCAATCAGTCAGAGATATTTTTCTAATTTCAATTATTACAAACTTTGAATATTTCTTTCTCAAAACTTTTCAAGATTTTCAATTAATCACTCACATTCCCTTTTTCTAAAATTTTGACCCGGTTAAGCAAATTAGATTGACATATCATCCTGAACTAATTAAATTTGGATGTTGACTCACATATATCATAATACATCTTCAATACACAGTTATCTTAGCCATAAGTTAAATTTAAATTGAAAGAAATCTTGAGAGGGTAAAGAGTTACTACTATTTAGGGCCTAATTGTGAAATCAAAAAAGTTTAAAGGCTGAAACGGAAAAAAGTACAGTGAGTAAAGGCCCCACGCGCTCCAATTAATAGTGAACAGCTCCAAAAGATGAGCTCTTTAAAGAGCTTCTTCTTCCCATTACGGATCAGATCCCGAATTCTTCTTCCTCTGACCACCGACCGATTTAGTTTCTCCGATCTTCGCAGTTTCTGTGGGGAAATAAACGAAGTTAGTATAATTCTCTGTATCCTTTTACTTCATCTCTGTGAATCTCATCCATTTTCATCTTCTTCTTATGTTTCTCGTACTTGTTTTGCTATTAGAAATCGTTTCGGTTTAGCGCTTCTTTGTTTTTGATAGATGAGTTGAACTCGTTGACTTAGTTTGAATAAGGAGAGATCGGGTTCATTTCTATTAGCTTTTGTTGATGATGCTGCAGTGTTTTTTTTTTTGCTTTGATCCGATCTTTGTTTTTGAGTTAGATCAGTTACTGTGATTTCACTATTTTCAGTAGGGTTAATTGTATTTTTTTGGACAATAGTGCGAAATTTTGGCTACTTTGATTTTTTTATGTCTTTTTCATACCAGATCTTGGATGTTCGATTATTCCTGGATCTCCCTTTTTTTTCTCTGTCGGAATAAAAATAAAGAAGAAGAAGTGATACTAATATATGTGCTGTATATTTCTTATTGTGACATAGGTGATACGATGGCGCAGCATCTGTTGCACGGGACCTTACATGCTACCATTTATGAAGTTGATGCCCTCCATGGTGGTGGAGTCAGACAAGGCTTCCTTGGCAAGGTATATATATTATATCTTTATCAGCTATTGTTCTTCATTTTTAGTTCTCTTTTTTAATCTGTGATTCCGTAATTGATAAGTTTTTGGAGGTCATGTTTTAGCCATGTGTTCTTCATGAATTAATAATACATAATGTTTCGGTAGCAATGGCCAAAATTGCATTAGTACTTTTTTCTTATCATGTCTTTTTTTGGTTTTGGTTTTGGTTTCGGTTTCTGTTTGCTCCATCCTGATGTCTTGTTTTGTTGTTCAAATTAGGTGGTGGACAGATATGTTACGTAATGTGCTGCATATTTGTTTACCTGCTGTTTTAATTCCACTACATTTGAACTTTATTTTCTGTTGAAAATTTCAGATTCTGGCTAATGTAGAAGAGACAATTGGCGTTGGCAAAGGTGAAACACAGTTGTATGCTACGATTGATCTGCAAAAAGCTAGAGTTGGGAGAACCAGGAAGATCAAAAATGAACCTAAGAACCCAAAGTGGTATGAATCGTTTCATATCTACTGTGCCCACTTGGCTTCTGATATCATCTTCACTATTAAAGATGATAACCCTATTGGAGCCACCCTTATCGGAAGAGCATACATTCCTGTTGACGAAGTCATTAATGGCGAGGAAGTTGATCGGTGGGTTGAGATCTTGGATAATGACAGAAACCCCATTCAGGGAGGATCAAAGATTCATGTGAAGCTCCAATACTTCCATGTTGAGGAGGACCGTAACTGGAATAAGGGTATCAAAAGTGCTAAATTCCCTGGAGTCCCATACACATTCTTCTCGCAGAGGCAAGGCTGCAAAGTTTCCCTGTACCAAGATGCTCATATTCCAGACAACTTTGTTCCTAATATTCCTCTCGCTGGAGGGAAGAACTATGAGCCTCAGAGATGTTGGGAGGATATTTTCGATGCCATTAGCAACGCAAAACACATGATCTACATTACTGGTTGGTCTGTTTATGCTGAGATTTCCTTAGTGAGGGACTCGAGGAGGCCAAAGCCAGGTGGAGATATGTCCATTGGTGAGCTACTCAAGAAGAAGGCTAGTGAAGGTGTCAGGGTTCTTTTGCTTGTTTGGGATGACAGAACCTCTGTTGATGTGCTGAAAAAAGATGGGCTCATGGCTACTCATGATGAAGAAACCGAGAATTTTTTCAGGGGAAGTGATGTTCATTGTATTTTGTGCCCTCGTAACCCGGATGATGGTGGTAGCATAGTCCAAAGTTTGCAGGTGTCTACTATGTTCACGCACCATCAGAAAATCGTTGTTGTGGACAGCGAGATGCCAAGCAGAGGAGGATCAGAAATGAGGAGAATTGTGAGTTTTGTTGGTGGAATTGATCTCTGTGATGGAAGATACGACACTCCGTTCCACTCCTTGTTCAGGACATTGGACACAGTCCACCATGATGACTTCCATCAACCTAACTTCACAGGTGCTGCTATCACCAAGGGTGGTCCAAGGGAGCCTTGGCATGACATCCACTCTCGTCTTGAAGGTCCCATTGCTTGGGATGTCTTGTATAATTTCGAGCAGAGATGGAGCAAGCAGGGTGGGAAAGACATCCTAGTTAAGTTGAGGGATCTCGGTGATATTATTATCACCCCTTCTCCTGTTATGTTCCAAGAGGACCATGACGTGTGGAATGTCCAATTGTTTAGATCCATTGACGGGGGAGCTGCTGCTGGGTTTCCGGAGTCACCTGAAGCTGCTGCGGAAGCCGGGCTTGTAAGTGGAAAAGACAATATCATTGATAGGAGTATCCAAGATGCTTACATTCACGCGATTAGACGCGCCAAAGATTTCATCTACATTGAAAACCAGTACTTCCTAGGGAGTTCTTTTGCTTGGGCTGCCGAAGGTATTACTCCTGAGGACATCAATGCTCTGCACTTAATCCCAAAAGAATTATCGCTGAAGATCGTGAGCAAGATTGAGAAAGGAGAGAAGTTCAGGGTTTACGTTGTGGTTCCAATGTGGCCAGAAGGTCTCCCTGAGAGTGGATCAGTGCAAGCTATATTAGATTGGCAGAGAAGGACCATGGAGATGATGTACAAGGATGTGATTCAGGCCCTCAGGGCTCAGGGACTCGAGGAAGATCCAAGAAACTATCTGACATTCTTCTGCCTCGGAAACCGTGAGGTCAAGAAAGAAGGGGAGTATGAGCCTGCAGAGAGACCAGACGCCGATTCAGATTATATGAGGGCGCAAGAAGCACGTCGCTTCATGATTTACGTCCACACCAAAATGATGATCGGTAAGTTCACATTTTGATTAGAAAAAGACTTGAGAAGTTTACATAAATGTTTGTGCATGACTTAGTTGATGACCCATTTGCAGTTGACGATGAGTATATTATCATTGGGTCTGCTAACATCAACCAGAGGTCGATGGATGGTGCAAGGGACTCTGAGATAGCAATGGGAGGCTACCAACCACATCACTTGTCCCATAGACAACCAGCTCGTGGCCAGATCCATGGGTTCCGTATGTCACTCTGGTATGAACACCTGGGAATGCTAGATGAAACCTTCCTGGATCCCTCAAGCTTGGAATGTATCGAGAAAGTGAACCGCATTTCGGAGAAGTATTGGGACTTTTACTCAAGTGAGACACTCGAACATGACCTTCCCGGTCACTTGCTCCGCTACCCAATTGGTGTAGCCAGCGAAGGCGACATCACTGAGCTTCCTGGAACGGAATTCTTCCCGGACACGAAGGCCCGTATTCTCGGCACCAAATCAGACTACCTGCCTCCGATCCTTACAACCTAATCTCACTGGGTATGTCCAGTAACGATCTCTTTCTCTCTGCTTTGCTGCTACGGTAGCTTTGAATAAACTGAGTGTCTGTGTTTAGAAATAAGTTAATGGTTGTTGTGATGATGTACTTTTTACCCCCTTTGGTTTTATATTCGTACAATGACGTGGTGAGAATGTAGCTTTGTTGTTATGTGTACCGTTGAACTTATGAATCTTATTGAGTATATCTGATCCTTTTCTTTTTAATTGATAATCCCAACCAATAATATTGTGTTTCACATCAAAAATTTAGAGGTAGTTTGCTATTTTATTCATATAAAGGTCATCAGTAGTGTGTAGTAAAGAGGTCCAGACTCCAGACCACAGTTCAAGGAACCGTTTCCGAAAATTTATCACCCAATGTTTGTCTTAAGTTTCCTACCATATAAGACCAAACCTTGTAAGGTAATCAGCACTAGTCACGGACTAACGGCCATTTATGAGTCTTCTTACTTTAGGATTTGGCATTGTTGGTCCCTTAAATATTAAGAAAATTCAAACAAAATTTCACTGAACAAAATTGTTTATTTTCTTAAGTGATTATTTAAAATCTCATAAAAGCAGAGAAATGTTAGTCCAAAGCTTAAGAACACAAAACTCTATGTTCTTAGACAAGTTTCTATTTGTCATTGATTCCACTGAAATCTTCTCAATAAACTAGAACATAGAAAACGTGAACAATGGGAAACAATCCCATTAATTTAGTCTCCATCTTAGAACTACTCCTCGCCGGTTTGTTCTCGTTAACCGATTGATAAGCTACAACCGGTGGTCAACTCCATAAGACCAACCCGTACGAAAAGGCCGAACCAAAATATCTTAGTTGAGTCGTTTTGACTTGGTCTTCAAATTTTTGCCAAAAATTAATACTTCTCCACTTCCTAGTTCGAAGAAGATTAATGACTCACGTTTCTTTTTGCACTTCGTTATTTGTTTCCCACATTTGTAGGAACTTCGTTGAGGAAATGAAAAGCTAAAAATAACGATCGTGGTAGTAATTTTCTTTTAAACAAGAATCACAAAAAAATATTGAGTGGATTCGTTGTAAACACAATGCAAGAAATAGCAATGAACTAGGTAAAACATATATACTTTATTGAACATTCATACTTTATTAAAAAGGTGAAAGGAAATACAGAAATAAAAGCATAAAACTAAATTAATAGGTCATATGGAACCAAAATTTGATACAACAAGCTACAAAAACCAAACATGATCTCATAAACGAGACTAGCACACATTCACACAAGGCTGAGAGAGAGAGGCGTTATAGGATTTAACCGATTAAGAGGGAAACACGGCACGACACACCGGACAAATCCCACTATTCCTAAGCCACTCCTTTCCACACATGCGATGAAACACGTGCGAACACGGCATACGACCCGCCTCCAAGCCCGGCCCAACTCGGATCTTATCCATGCATATCACACAATAACCTCCATCCCCATCAACAACCACCGTCTCCAAGTGCGTCTCAACCGCCTCATCGCTCGCTGGAGCCACCGAGAAATTCACATCCACGTCGTCCTCTTCACCTGGAAACCTCGGCACGACAACACCCATCTCAACTTGTAGCCTCTCCACGTGAGGTAACTCATCACGCATCTTCAACTCCACGATCTTCTCAGTTAACGTGCTAACGATGCCGTAATAACAAGGGACTTGGAGCAAATCAAGAATGTGATAGACGAAGGCTAGTGTCTTATCCCCGTCTCCACCGAACAACCATTCACGATCAAACTCGTGAGTTTGGTAAACGGTTCTACTTTCAAGATTCTCAAGATCGTCTTCTTCATCATCTGCACGAGTGTACTCTACTTGGAAATCGATGAAAAACTTGTCGTTTCTGCGGAGGAGATCTCCGTCTTCTTTGTAGATCCATTTGACATTGATCGTGCTGTCGAAGATATCGTGGGGATAGAAAATCATGATTTGTTTGAGAAAAAGATTGGTTTCGATATTTGCAGTGTAGTGTGTTTTTAAGGGTTTTGATAAAAGGGATGAGAGAGGTTTGATCAAGAGAAAGAGTCAATTGAGTTAACGGAAACAAAAAAAACTGAAAAAGGAAAATTTCCATTAAACTTAAATAATACCGAATATTATAAAATAAAAGGTAAATCAAAATATATTTCAAAAAGAAATTTAGTTTAGAAATTTCATTTAAATTATAATACTTAATATAATAATTTAATTTAATTTTTTAATATTTTAAAACATTAATAAATGTTTTAAGTTAAAACCTATTTTAAATTTCTTTAAATATTTTTCTAATATAATATATAAATTCAAAACATTAATAGAAAGTGAAAATTATGATGAAATAATATTTTATTTAAAATATATAATAATTTTTTAAAGTATTTATATATAGAAATGTCAAAATTATCAATATAAATATTTTTAAAATATTGAATTATATAAAAACGAAAATTATATATTTGTTCCTCATTGTTCCTCTACAATTTTGAGTAGGAACATTTTTGAACTGTTGTTCATTTTTATTTGAGGAATGAATAGGAATAATATAGATCCCACATATCTGAAAATTGAAAAAACATTATAGGTAAATGGTAGCAAAAATTGAGGAACAACGAAGAACACCACATTCCTCTTCGTTCTATTCCTAAAAAGTGGTCACCAATTGGAGCCTTTATTTTTGTTAAAATTTATATATTTACTGTTGACTAACAACAAGTAAATGACTCTTTATAAAAGAACGACCGAAGAATGTTTTGGTAGAACAATGTGTGAAGATGATCGTATTGTAGATGTAGACATTATATTGTTGCGCACCACAAAAGAAGTTTCGAAGCAAAAGTACATGGAAGAATACTACTTCTCCACGAGTAGTTCTTTCTAAGTACGGCAATTTTGTAGTTTCCAAACATGTTCCGATCTTATTGGTTTGATTATTTGATGGTTTATTAGAGACTTTGGCAAGTTTCTACTTCTCGAAAATCTCCAGGACACGTGTAAAAGTCAAACATGACACGTGTATTGGTCAGTTGTTGAAATTGATCCAAGTTTTTTAATAGTCTCCTAATTAATTTTATTTTGTTAATAATTTTCCGTCGACATGATTTATCCATTATTATCATGCATTTTAACATCTTTTTACTAGCTTCCAATAATAATTCTCGTTACTACGTGCCGTCTTTTTTTGTCTGTAATATCCATCCATACAAGTGATAATTTATAAGTTCATAGACAGACGAAACAGATAAGATAGTGAGTTGGATTTTTATATTATACAGTATGATTTATACTACATATTTATACTACATGTGACAATGTTCATGTCGATGTTCTTAAGTTTTCAAGAAACATGTTCATTTATGAATTAGCCAGTGAAGAGAAGATGAGATTAGTTTTTGTTTAGAAACTATGAATAACTAACTCGAACTCAGTCAATCGATTCAACAAAAGCAATAAAGTTATCAGATGCAGTGAAAACGATTTATTTTTATTTTTAAAGTCACCTAATTGATGAAAAGGAATATAACTATTGTAAATTTCCAATGACTTTTTAAAATTATCTATACATATTAGAAAGAGTGGTCTACAAAATCCAAACTACATATTGACCAAAAAATTATCTTCTGAATAAACTCGGTCTATACACATATTACTAGCTCCCACTAGGACATGTGAGTAAACAAAGCACCAAAACACCAATCTTTTCCAACTTTTATATATTTTCCATATAATAATTAAAAAAATCTCCTGAATTATTATATTTGTATAAATATAGGAGAGAGTCAAGAAATGAGTTCCAACTTCCAACCATAAAAATTTCAACAGTTGTTAAGTTACAAGTCTCTCTAAACACACACACACACACGTCTCTCCTCACAGCCAATCATCGACCATAGCTAGATTTCGTTTTTTGTTCCGTTGGTTTTTCTTTCTTGGTATCATCAACCAAAACTTCACGCGCATATCTTCAAGGATGTTGAGCTGTTCTAATGGTACCGTCGTGATCGCAACCGCCATGGTTTGCTCAAGCACCGCTCTGTTTCTCGCCATGGCTCGTCAGTTCCATGGAAATAATCAAACCTCTAAGGTTCTTGATCAGACTCCACAACCCATTCTCCGTTCTTGTCTATCTTCAGGTACGATCTTGTTTTCTCTATGGCTCGAAACAAATGTTTTCGATAGACTTTTCTCGGGATAAAGAAGTTAAAGTATTTTTCTTCTTGGGGATGCAGAGGAAACGAAGAAACAAAGGAAGAAGATAAAGAAAGTGCGGTTTGCGGATAATGTGAAAGACACTAAAGGGAACGGGAAAGAGTACCGGAGGAGAGAATTGAACCGGATCAACGTACCGGAGCCAGTGACAAAACCGGGAAAGAACGGTTCAAGTTGTAGAATCTCCACCATGCCAGCGAACCGGATGGCTCTGTACAATGGGATTCTCAGGGATCGAGATTATAGAACTCAATGTTCTTATTGACCTTTTCTTCTTGACCAAATAAGTCAATAAATTTAGGTCTGTAAATCTTTTCTTAATATTAGACTCTCTTTTTTTTTTTGAAAATTTCAGAAATTGTACTAGGTGTCTTTTTTTTTCTACTATCTACCTTTTCTTATTAGTTGTTTTAGAACTAAGTGACAATGTAAATAATTGATCTGTAAATAATGATTAGCAAAATGAAAAGGTAAAAGATTATGTAAATAGTGATTAGCAAAATGAAACATAAATGGACCATATGGCCCTATAGTTATCTTCTAGGATAGAAATAGCCAACACAAATTAATTGCACATGTCACGGCTCGGGATTACGAGTTTCATACGTCAACTAAACATTTCATTTTCTATTCAACCAAGCTTGAACAAGTAGAGGCGCCTTTTTTGGTATATAAAGATATACGTATGTATTGACCAGAAAATATAATGATGAGGATATGAATCTTTTGTTCTTTACCAAGTTAACTTACACAATTTGATGTATACGAAATGTAGAGCCAATCTTCATTAAAGATATTTTTAGTGTGTTAAAAGTTCTTTTTCAATGTTATAGACTCCTTCTCCTGACTTTCAAAGAATAACATTATAAAAAAGATTGAGGTGTGATCCAATTGCACATATTAACGATTCTCATTATAATTTACACAAGTTAGTATTAATGTAGCCACATATTAATCTTTTAAGCCAAACTTTTTAAGATCCAATTCTAATCACAATCACTTTCCAAAAACAAGTGCCCCTTGGTGGATGGGAGAAAACCAAAACTTTAGGCCAATGTGAACAGAATAAATCAACGGTCCAAATTTCACGTACGTAGTTAGTTATTTCGATTTTGTGAATAGTTATTTCTTTTCATAACAACATTTCTTTTGATTAAAAGGGGTAAATATAATTTGCTTACGTCTCGTAAGATCTTAATTCTATGAACCACCAAAAGACCACCTAACTTTATCACCATATTATATAAACGAAATCTAGTGGATAATATATGTGTGTTTTCTAGGCCACTGGTATAAGATTCTTGATTATATAAAATACAGCATGTTACATGCAACATCATATACATACATGCATGCATCGTCGTCAACGGTTGGCTTTTAGGCTTTAACCTCTCGAGAGAGTTAAAGCTAATTTATTTTCTCTATACATCTCGCAATATGTACTTTATGTTTTGTTATCTAAAATATAAAATAACTACTAACTAGAGACGTCTATCCAAAATCGAGTTCATATCAAAATCACTGAAATTTGATTTTGAAGTAGGGTTTGAAATTTGATTTTGAAGTAGGGTTTGAAATTTGATTTTGAAGTAGGGTTATCTACTTATCCCAACACACAATGTACTTGTCTTGAGAGACTTCAAAGTTGTAAAGACTTTGCTTTAATTATGACAAACGAGGAGCCAAAGTGGTCAAAAGATGGATAAGGCAAGTGGTGGGCTCCAAGGCCTTATAACGCCACAAGACCACTAGACTCTTTCTACACATGCCTCGTCGTCGTTTCGGCTATCCGTGGGGTCTCTTAACTCTTTTTCAAGTTTCTTCGAAATCAAGTATCCGAAACTTCCAGATACACGCTAGCTTAAGCTAACTCAGAAAAAAAAAAGAAAAAAAAGAAATAGTCTTTTTCCCATTTTTGTTACTACTCTTCTTCCGATTTGGTCTTTGCTTTATACCCAAATCAAATCGATTGATTTCATTTGAAGAATACTATTAGTTCCACATGATTCTTCGTTTAGTGATCTAAGAAGGGCTCTGCTGTTTCCTCGATGGGGTAAGTGAAATTAACTCGTTTCAAGGATTAGTTCTGTAGGATTTTCGTTTTTGTGGCGATAAAAATGTTCTCTTTTTGTAATCTGAGCCTTTGGAATTCGAAAGTTTCTAGCTTTGGGTATTCGTAAAGGTTTGAGCTTTGAATTAACTCTCTTACAAAGTATTAGCTTTTGGGTTTTAGGATGATGTTTTGTGTAGCTGATGATTTTGGTGGGGGTGATTGCAAAATCAATGATTTGTTTATGATGTTGTAACACAGCAATAGTTGTTTGGCTTGTTTTGATAAGTCGAAAGCAACAACAACTGTAGATGTGCCTTTGAATGGCTCAAAAGATGTGTTAGTAGAAGAAGATTGGAGTGAGCTGAGGAACCCTAGTGTAGCTTCTGAAGAGTTCTGGACAAACACCACTTTAGATATGGAAAGCAATGCTCAGGGAAGTGTTTCTTCAATCAGTACGACGAATCTGACTGTTGATTCTCAAGGATGTGGTTCCAGCTCTAATGAACCTGCTGAGTTTGTTAACAATGGTGAGTGATAGAGTATGCTTGGTGGTTTGGTGATTGAGCATTTGAAAAAGAATCTGAGAATTTTTGGGGTGTTACAGGTCTTGTTCAATGGAATCAAACTAGGCAGCAATGGGTGGGGGATAAGAGATCCAAGAGGCGCGAAAGAGTTGTCCGAGAACCTATACTAAAGTGAGGATTGTATGAGACTTAGTGGTTGCAAGATTCAGTCTGTTGTCTGAAATTAAACAATTTGATTGTTTTTGCAGTGAGAATGTGACTTATGAGAGTCTACTTGGGAGCAACAAGCGGTTTCCTAGGCCTATACCTCTTGATGTAAGTTAAACTCCATGGACTGGAGGAAATAACATTACTATCCCCTCTAATCCATATTTGGGTAACCAAATTCTTCTTGTAATTGAAATGATCATTGCAGGAAATGGTACAGTTTCTGGTTGAAGTTTGGGAAGAAGAGGGTCTATACGGCTGAAAAGATTCTTCTATACATTATTCACATTCATGTTGGCCAAAACCTTTTCTTTTCTTTTCACAATTCAGATTCTGTTTATAAATCTGGAATTTGTCAAGAAGAGCTGAGGGAGAGATATAAATCAATTTCACGAAACGGCTTGTATTTTTTTTTCAAAAATTATCTAAATTAAATTTATGAATTTACACATGCCGTACACGTATGTATTATCTGATTCCAAAACCTTTAAAATAAAAACGAGTTAAGGGGTTCTTCATTTTATCGTCGAGGAACAAAATGACGAGGGCTTTGTCCAATACGACCACAAGCTCTAACTTCTATCGCCACTCACTTCTTTCACCGTTCTCACCGCCGTATCAGCTTCACTGTCGAAACATTTCCCTATTCGCTGCTCCCCGCCGTTTACGTTGCCTCGCCGTTGCTGGTGGCCCTCCTTCTCCTCCAGGCCCTGATCCGCCTCCGCCTGAGGACACTACTCAGCTTGAAGGTTTAATTCTTATTGCCCAGATAATATTATGCTGCCTTTGAATTCATCTTTGTTTGGCTGGTCTTTGTTGTACCTGCTTTTTACTTAAACTGGTGTGTTGGACAGTTGGGTTGAAAGTTTCAATTTTTATCCGATAATTTGATGTAACTACAGAGCGTTTTGAGGTAAGTACTTGGTTTTGGCTCGTGCTGAGATTGTTTGTATCATGAGAGGAGGATGTCGATTGTGTCTACTGAACTTAAGTTCATTCTTAAGATGTGAAATTTTGCAGTTGTATGTTTGTTGGTTCTGCAATTAGTCCATATGTGTTATGCTGAATAGTTTAGGTGGCGATTTATTAAGAACATAGAAGAATATGCTGGAAATAGAAAACACTGCAATTTATAGTTTATACTAATTACGAAGTCTAATGAACACTCTGCTTCCTTTTGTATCTCTTTGGATAGGTCTTGTGGGAGCTGTGACAAGGATACAAGACCGAGTAAAGATCTTCCTAGCAGTGTTTTTTTGGATGTCTCTCTTCTTCTGGGTTACAGTGACAGATGGGAGGGGTAAAGGAAAAGGCAAGAAAGGTTCACGTTTCAAATAGTTTGCAATATATGAAAGGGGCTTTGGTGATCTCATCCTATATATATGTCCAGAGAGAGAGAGAGAGAGAGAGAGATCAAATGCCTGTAGAAAATACACCAAGTAAGCATCTTTCTTGTACATCACTACTTATTCAGATGATAATAGGATACAATAATACATCATAACATCGTGTTAATCTTGGTTGATGCTAGAGGTAGAGTTAGTAATCATTCCTGATACCTTCCGGTCAAGTTCTCTGGCTCTGCAGCCTCTGCTTAGTATGAGCTAAATTGGTGTGGTTTAATCAGTATACATTTCTAAACATGAATGGGCCATTAATGATCGAGATATTAATGGGCCTTAAAACTAGAAAGAGTATCCGGATTTCAAAAGCAATATACATTACAGTTCAATTATTTTTCCTGGAAAAACAGAGAAAAGTCGTTTAAACTAATTGGCACATGCGGTACATGAGCACCACCAAGTAAGGTCTGTCTAGAAATGTGCATTAAATGTGAAAGATCCGAGTGAGTGAGTCGGATGACGACGTCTCGTCTCCTCCTCTAACACCTTTTCATCAAAAGCTTTTAACGTGTCGTTACCATAGGGATGATGGAGCGCGTTATACCAGTTTTGGATACAGACACGTGGTTAGAGTTCATTGGCTTGTTTAGTTAAACTCTGTGTCGTTGCACATACAACCAAAGTCTAAACTAAAGTGTAGTAAAGACAATAGTTAACCAAAGAGAGATAAAGCAGAGCCAACTAACCAAAGGAAACAAAAATCTCTTCTCTTCTCCGTGGTGGTGAGTCTGGTTGGTGACTATCTGACTCTTTCTTTATTTTCTTTTCTCCCACAACCAAACCCTAAGGTTGTCTATGGTTAATTTGAGAAGAGTAACTTGTAAAAAACTGTTAAATTTTTGGGGTTTTCATTTGACATTTTTGTGTGATCCTCTCTCTTTTTGAATCTGTTTTCAAGGGGTTGCAAAAGGAAGGTAGAGAGATGGCTGGTGAAGAGGAAGTTGTACCTGTTGAGCTACCAGCACCTTCTTCTTGGAAGAAATTGGTTTGTTTGCTTTGTTCCCTTCTGATAGTTTTGGCTAATTAAAGAAGAAAAAAAGCCCTAGAATTTGTTGTTTGTGGGAAGTGCTGCAATTACCAAATCTTTTCTTTCTAATTCTTAAAAGACCCTGCATATGGTAGCTTCTGGTAGCTAACTGTTAGTATGAAGTTAATATACTTGATGTTGATTAGATGATTCAATGGCTATAGACTTCAGAAATGCCTCATTTCATTTTGTTTGATTTACTTACTTCTTTGTTCTTAAATTTCCTGATTCTTATGGTTATGGATGCCACTTGTAGCCTTTTTGAAGTATAATCTTGTCGTCTTTAGAGTATAATCTTAAGCATTTTTGAACCTTTCAGATTTCGATTTTTTAGAGGTTTACATTTAAGTCAACGTGACATGTTTTGTAGTTTCACCCCAACAAAGTGGGTTCAGTGAAGAAGACAGAGATTGTGTTTGTTGCTCCAACTGGTGAGGAGATCAGTAATAGAAAGCAGCTGGAACAGTATCTCAAATCTCACCCTGGAAACCCTGCGATCACAGACTTTGATTGGACAACTATTGGGACACCTAGGAGATCTGCAAGAATCAGTGAGAAGACTAAGGCAACGCCGTCACCAGATAAAGAGCCACCCAAGAAGCGAGGTAGAACCAAATCTTCAGGGTCAAAGAAAGGTACAGAAGCTGACAAATCAGAGGAAGGAGGAGCAGAAAAATCTCATGTGCAAGAAGACACTGAAAGGAATCCTCCAGAAGGGATTGTCGAGGATAAGAATGCAACTGCTAAGAATGGCTCTGGTGAAACAGAGAAACTGAATGATGCAAAGAAAGGTATGGTTGTTGAGGAAAGTCCAATTGCGGCTTCAGTTCAAGAAGCAGGTGAGTTGTTAAAGGAGAAAACACTGGATATGGTTGATGATAGTAGCAAAGAGAAAGTGGAGTCTCAGACTGACAAAGTTGAGGAGACTATCTTAACCGAAAAGAACTCAGTTGAAACAGAGAATAACATCGTTGAAGCAAGTGGTGAGCAAAAGAAGGAAATTGCAGGCCAAGGAGCACCCGATTCTGAATCCAAGACCAGAAACCATGAGGGAAATGGGATGACAACAGAAGTTGAGGGGAAAGAGAAAACGGCAGAAGCAGAAGCTACTGAATAGCCCTGCACTGCTCTGCATCTGGTAGCTCATAAAACTGTAAGTCAGTTGTTTCTATCATGAATCTACTGAAGTCTATGTTTTGCTTCGTGCTAGTTTTTTGTTTGTTTGTATCTAATCAGAGCATTATCCCGGTGAAAGATGTTGTTAGGCTGAGATATGTATTATGAGATGATTGCAGTAGTATGTGCAAGTGCTTGTAGTTTAAAAGATTATGTAGAGGAGGATATTATTGGTCCCTCCGTAAAACCATTGCAACCACTATGTGTTGGTGTTTATCTTAGTTCTTCAATCTTGAGTTTCTTTTACATTGTTCCATGGATAACCTCATAGCCAAGTTATAAACAAAGTGGATTAAAGACTAGTAGATAGATTAAACATTTTTATCATTTATTTTGGTCCAATCTTCATATAATCATATTAAATAAAAATTGAAGAATGCAGAAGAAAACTAAAGAGCAAAAAGGTAAAAGTTTTGCTTTGAGGGTAAAGTAAGAATCTAATGCAGACAAAGACTTACATTGTTAGTTTTCTCATTTCCTTGATTCAGTTTCAGAAGAATCTTTTAATTTTGCCTTGACAACTTCCCTTGATTCCTTCCTTTTGCCATGGTCCCAGTGACAAGGGTTTAGAATCTTACTATTAAGGAACAACAACTTCATAGTATAAACACTTCCTGTTCTCATTTTAGGACCACAAAATTATAAAAAATAACCTCCTCTGCTTTCAAAACCATCATTTGAGACAGCATCTCAAATGGACTATTGTATTTATCTTCGAAAGTCTCCTACTTCACATATGGGTTTCTCTGCTTTCTTCCTTTCGTTTCTCTTGGTATTCTCAATCCTCTCTTCACAACCGGCAGTAGCATTCATCGGAACATATGGTATAAACTACGGTCGCATAGCTGACAATCTTCCGCCTCCTGACGCGGTAGCAAGACTCCTTAAATCAGCAAAGATCAGAAACATCCGTATCTACGATGCTGACCACTCCGTCCTCACGGCGTTCCGTGGGACTGGGATCGAAATCATCGTTGGCTTAGGCAACGAGTTTCTCAAGGACATAAGCGTTGGAGAAGACCGAGCCATGAACTGGCTTAAAGAAAACGTCGAGCCTTTCATAAGAGGCGGTACTAAAATTAGCGGTATTGCGGTTGGGAACGAGATTTTAGGTGGCACCGATATCGGTCTTTGGGAAGCTCTCTTACCTGCCGCCAAGAATGTTTACTCCGCTCTTCGCCGTCTTGGTCTTCACAATGTCGTCGAAGTACGTTACCTTAATCTCTTGTACTTTAACCAAACATGTCGTTCAAATCATCTAGATGACGGATTAGCCTAAAAATAATGCTAATATTTGTTTAGTCTAACAATTTGAATTTCTATTAATAGGTGTCGAGTCCACATTCGGAGGCAGTGTTTGCGAACTCGTATCCACCGTCGTCGTGCACTTTCAGGGACGATGTGGCGCCGTTTATGAAGCCGTTGTTAGCATTTTTTGGGCAAATTGGGTCGTCGTTTTACATCAACGCCTACCCTTTTCTTGCTTATAAATCCGACCCGATCACAATTGAACTCAACTACGCCATTTTCGAGCATAACAAAGGCATCTTAGACCCCAAAACCAAGCTTCATTACGATAACATGTTCGATGCAATGGTCGATGCTTCTTATGCTGCTCTCGAAAAAGCTGGTTACACAAAAGTCCCCGTACGTGATCCGTCTTAATTATTACTATAAATTGCAAACTGAAGTTTTGTCAATAACATGCATAACATGAGTTTGCAACTTAGTACAGTAGTTTGTGTTTTTAACATGCACTAATAATATAATTAAGCTACATGTCTTCTAGTTTTCGTATATGAAAAGATGTAACATACGACTAGAGTCCACAATAATTATAACCTGATTTAAATCATTTAAATACGTAGGTGATTGTTTCGGAGACGGGATGGGCATCAAAAGGCGACGCAGACGAACCCGGAGCGTCATTGAAGAACGCCAGAACTTATAATCGGAATCTCAAGAAACGGCTCCAGAAGAGGAAAGGAACGCCGTACAGACCAGACATGGTGGTGAGAGCTTACGTGTTTGCTCTCTTCAACGAGAACTCGAAACCAGGCCCCACTTCCGAGAGAAACTTTGGCCTTTTCAAACCCGACGGTACTATTGCCTACGACATTGGCTTCCCTGGACTCAAGTCCTCCTCTTCTACCACACGGTGTCGTGTATGGTCGTCATCTCTTGTTTCGGCTTGTCTTGTTATGATTCTTCTTCTTCTTCTTCAACGTTAGATACCCTTGTGAGTTGTGATTTTCGAATTGATCCTTTGGTGTATATAGATTATCAAGCTAACCCCGTAAATCTTGATTTGCTTATGATTAGTCACTTTTACCTTTTAAGTGTTGTTGATATAAAGAACTTCTTACATTATGTAATGTGATCATTTGAACGATATTGTTCTAGTGATTTGAATTGTTGGATCTTAATTTCTAAAGTTTTACTGTGTAGTTCTTGGTTGGGACTCGATCACAGTTTCGTTAAATGAAAAAAAAAAGCAAAATAAGTTGTGAAAACTACATACAACTTTCACAACAGATTTTTATCATACACAGAATTTTGATCTTGTGTATTTTTTTTTGGCTAAGATATAGTGTATTTATCTAGCTATACTAATTTTTTTTTTTTTTTTTAATTTGTGTTCATGCTCATGTCTTTGGTTTATATGAAGGCTTACGTATAATTATTTATTTATAAGGATAAGTCGTGCAATTACGACAGCATTAAAAAAGATATTAGGCAAACGAATCTAATCTATAGAGTGCAGCAAGTCGTCAAGATCTTCTCTCTTTATAAGATTCCGATTTAATAATTCTATCAAAATTTATTCGTTCGACCACCTCCTATTAATGTATTATTATTCGTACGCACTCTGTGCTCTTGTGTCAACTACCACATCAATTATAAATTTCTACTTGGGATTAAACATGTGTACAATTCACGTTACATGGATAAAGATATTGGAATGTGCAACTACCACCATAATTCAAGTAAACTAATATAGTAACTTTAGATGAACTGTTGACAACACATTTAATCTGGTCAATGGATACATTTGGCTCATTATAACTTTAAAACATTTTCCAATAGTGTGTATATGTATACAAGATTTGAAAATACGTAATATAGTCAACAAATTTCCCGGGACAGAGACGTACTATATATATATTATGTAACGTAGCAACTTTAATGATTTAACACAGAATTGATACAAAGAGATCTCCATAATCATCTCATATATGGTTCAAATCCAAAGGTTGAAATAAGCTAAAGATTAGATTCGATATATTAACGTGTGAAGACCGGTTGAGAGAGACATACACTAATCTTCGACAAAAGGGTGAACCTGTTCGTCACCAATCTCAACAGGATCATCACCATTGATTTGGTCAAGCACGACGACCAAACCCATAGCGAAAGCGCCATCGAAACCAGGTTTGATCTCTAGAGTGAAGACATCTCTACCGAGCATCACGTTCGTTGACGCGTCTACTTTGCGTTTGATCTCAGCCACAGTACGTTTCTCCGTGTCGTATATGAGGCAGCTTCGTTGCGAGAAGTCTCCATCGATAATGTACTCTTCTCCGCTTCCGTCGAAAACATCTACTTCCATCGTACACCGTCCGATTATCGACGATCTACGGACGCTGAAGATCGGTTTCTGACCCTCCGATCTCTCCCCGAGGAAACCTTCCCACCTCTGGTGCAGAGTTGGTCTCTGCTCATCGAGAAACAAAACCAACGAGTTCACTCAGTATAATATTATTGGAACTAATATATTTGAAAGAATACAAATATAATTGTGTCTAGGCTGCGTAGCAATTGAGTCGATGACTAGGAACAAATAAATAGTTGATCAAAATTTTCAGCTCAAAACAATTTCTTCAGATCTTGTTTCTAACAACAGCATCCACCAAATTCTAGCCAAGCTATCCAATTTTTATCAAATACAAAAGAACACTTCTAAGGTTGACAAGAATCTTGAATTTAGATGGATCCCCATCAATGGTTATAAAAAAAAAAAAAAAACCAAACCCATCTAATCAAGAAAGCATCAAATACTTTAATCATCGAGTCTACTCTTACTTGTCCCAGCTCAGTTGTAAGAAACAAGAAGCAAAAAAAAAAAAAAACAGGAAAAGATTAGTAAAATCTACCTTTCGTTTAACGGTGAGGAGACACTTTCCAGTAGCGTCCATGAGGACAATCTCATCGTTATCTCTAGTGTCAGGACCGTAGGAATCAACCCTGAAGATGATATCGCCGTTGCAGTCATAGGCGGCGAAACCATCTCCGGTGTAGAAGAGAGAGGTCTTGCAGACGGTGAGTGGTTTGTCTTCTTTGTAGAGATAAGCTTTGTCCACTACCATTCTATCTCCCATCTTTTTCCCTTCTTTTGGAATGGTCTCTTCAACTAATTCCATGCTTTTAATTTTCTTTTTCTTTTTTTTTCTCTCTTTTGTGTGTGTGTGTTGTGTTGTGTTGTGTGTGTGTGTGGACGGAAGAAGTTAGATTTTGTGGTTTGGTTAGCGAATGATTTTTATGTGTGATATGGACACTCTTCTCTCTTCCTTACCTTTGCCTCCCTTGGCTATTTATATATGGTCGTGGTTGATATTTATATATACATACACACGCGTGACGCGTATGTAAAGATTTTAATATCTTTAATTGGTCTCCTTCATATAATTAAAAGTCATAGTATATATTATTGTAATTGCCTATTGGCTAGAAATAAAAAAAAGTCACATGCATAAATAATTTAATAACATGCGATGACTTGCAAATGTTAGTTTAATCTGTTTTATTAGACTTTTATTCTAAACTATATGAAAGATCTGTTTACACGCCGGTTTTATATCCAAGTTGCAAAAGAGAAAGAGCTACGAAGGAGCACGAGAAGTTTTTTGATATGTGTATTTTAACATTTTTTTAATGTATTTTTGTGTCGACAGAAATGGTTTATATATCCTCACGGCCAGTTTCTAGTTATCGTAACTTTCTAAAAAAGATGTTTTAATTACTAATCTTACGTACGTGTAGTGAAATTTCTTGTATATTATAATATTATGCAAAAAGGGAAAATTGGATTTCAACAAAAAAAAAAAAAAGGGAAAATAGGAAATTGATCGTTGTGGCTGTGGATATTTGTAATTTTTAAAAATATATATCACATCGTAAGATCTATTTGTACGTTGAGATTTATTAAAGTTGAGAAAAAGTGAATCAAACATTAACAATGTCCCAAATCTTAGCCTCGACCAGTAGACAAACACGTCTAATTGGGTGAAGATTAGACAGACACGTCCATTAAGGTGAAAAACAAACAAAATCACTACATCTTTGATATATAATACATTTACATTTGAATTATTACATTGACACCACCTCTTGATGAGTAATCAATCAAATATGTATGACTATATAAATTTTACAATCTTTGGCACAACTCTATATAGTTCAGATTCTTTTTCTATTAATATTTTTAACGTTTACTATAAAGCTACAGAAAACTATGGTTCTAAAACGTAGCCAATGATTAAACTTACCACTACAAAGAAAATTGGATCTCTTTATAAGTACTTTTTCATCGGAGACTTTTTTCTTCTTGTTTTGGTAAACTTGGTAATCCGGGCCAATGCAACCAACCTTGGTACTCGTAAACCAGTTTGAGGAAATTAAGATACGTGTACGAATTTCTAAATTGTAGTGACTAGAGAAATCACGAATTATGGTCTGATCTCTTATGTAAACTACAAATACAAATACAAAAAAAAAAAGAAAAAAAAAATAATGCTAACAAGAAATTCAAACCAAATAATTCCAGAAAACAAAGTATAGGTTTTCGTCTACGTCAGTCAGATATCAAAAACGTGATCGAGTGAACAAATGTCAATGCCATCATATTTCTTGGTATGTATCGATCTTTTTTGTTTCTTCCTGTTTTTTGTTTGTTCACTACACCAATGGTTCTGATGATGTGGAGTACGATATGGTGTTTTCTTACAGAACACATGATCATATATATGTGAGAATGTCGTAACTCGTAAGTATTACAGTAATTTGTTTGCATCAGTCAATAAACCACAGTTTTCATGTTTTTTTACGGTGAAAGAAGATTATTTACGCCAAAGGGGAACCAATGCAATAAATAACTATTGGATTCAACGTTAAACCAAATCCTTAGATATTCTCCAATAATGCATTTTTAATGTGAGTAAACTATATGGTTTTATATTATTATAGTTTTGAGACGAATCTCATACTCAACACATAAAAAGAAGAACATGTCGGTACACAAAAGTAAAGCCCACCAAAGAAAAGAGTTAGATAAAGAGTATTAACAATAACAACAACAACCATAAAATTTATAATGTCGCTCTCATCAAAAACTCAAAACAGTGTGTTATTATTCATATGAAATTTTTTTTTTTGAAACCCTTCGAAATCTCCGCCTCGTATCTCTTATATAACGCATCTCTCCAAACTCCTAAGCATGTCCCTCTCCGTCAACTCTAACGGCCATGTCAGCCTCCGCAGCTGAACCCGTCGACTCTCTCCGTCGCAGATCTCGTAACGGAAACCACACTAACGGCGTCGCTGTTGAAGACCATCGCGTCGGAGATACAGATACTCCAATGGAGATCACTGCTAAGAACAACGGCTACGCCAACGGTGTCGGGGGAGGAGGGTGGAGGAGCAAGGCGTCGTTCATGACGTGGACGACGCGTGATGTTGTCTACGTGGCGAGACACCATTGGATACCATGCATGTTCGCTGCGGGGCTCCTGTTCTTCATGGGCGTCGAGTACACGCTCCAGATGATTCCTGCGAGATCTGAGCCGTTCGATCTTGGGTTCGTGGCCACGCGCTCATTGAATCGCGTCTTAGCCTCTTCTCCGGATCTTAACACTGTTTTAGCCGCACTAAACACGGTATGTCGTGCTACTTAATTTAGGTTATACATATATATATATTTAATGATTATCTTCAAATTCATATTGCCTCCTTCACCTAACATTTTGTTTTTTTTTGCTTTGTCATTTAATATTTTTTAAATTGAATTAGTCAAATAAAATAAACAAAAGTGGGGTAGAGATGGAAATAAACCTCTCTTTATTTTTCTTCACTCTATATATAGATTCTAGCCTTATTTAATTCTCCAGCTGGAATTTTGCTGTCAAAGCAATGAAATATCTTAAGAGATGAGACAACTGGCATTAATACTAAAATGGTCTTAATCCATGAAAGATTAATTAGATGGGTGGATAAAATGGGTCTTTAATCGATTAGTTAGTGGGTTACAAATCTATTTAATGTTAATCTTCTTTTTAACAACTGCTTTCTTTTTGTTAATATAGTATTAGCATTAATCGCTTTTAACTTTAAAAGCTAGCTAGTGCCTAGTAGTAATAGAAAAAGACACATGGTGAAAGATGAGTTGGAGACACTATCACATGCAAACAGATAGATTGGTTCAGATTCGAGTTTTGTACTTTTGAACTAAAATAGTTTTGGGTGGGGGATTGGGATGGGGACAGGTGTTCGTATTGATGCAAACAACGTATATTGTATGGACATGGTTAGTGGAAGGACGAGCACGAGCCACCATCGCGGCTTTATTCATGTTCACGTGTCGCGGCATTCTCGGCTACTCTACTCAGCTTCCTCTTCCTCAGGTTCTATATCCAATCCACTCATCTCCCTCTTTTATGCAAATATTACTTTTTCTTTTATATTAGTGATGCTATCTACTAGTATATAATATATAGTATTAGATATCGTGTAACGTTCAAAATTTACTGGTGATCCATATCAGAATTCTATCATTTAGGACATGTGATTTCCCTTGGCTACTACCCTAGAATTCTTAAGTTTCTAATAGTCTCCAAATAATTTGATTATCTGAACTCTCCTTCAAGAGTATGATTTTCTCTACAAAAAATATTTTGTTTGGTTAAATTCTAACCTTGTTTCTTTCCGTTTTATATTTTTAATTAGTTTTTACATAGACAAATTAGATATAATTTTCATGTAAAGTTTACATAAATATAAAAGACAAATTTCGTCTAAACAACAATTATTGTTGTGAAATGAAAGGAATGATAGATTGTGTTTCATGCTTTCAAGTTTTTACCTTGCCCGGTTTAGGTTAATTATCATCTTAATGATTATTTTTCGATTTTCAGACATCCCTATGTTTGTTTTCGTTTTGTCACCGAACTTTTTTCCGTCTTTCAGAATAATGATCGATGATTTGATTGACTGGACATAAAATATCAGATTCTCACTCATTTACTTTCTACAGTTATAGTGAGTCATCAAGTTTATTTTCTTTCTCGTGACAATAGTATCGGTACATGCATGGATTTATGTGTGGTCTTGTACTCTTGTTATACTGTTGGTTGGAAATAAATGATCCAAGGTTAATTAGCTTTAGTCGTAATCAGAATAAGTTAATCCTGAAAATTACATTCCTCATCTTTTACAGGATTTTTTAGGATCAGGAGTTGATTTTCCGGTGGGAAACGTCTCTTTCTTCCTCTTCTTCTCGGGCCACGTTGCTGGCTCGATGATCGCATCGTTGGACATGAAGAGAATGCAGAGGTTTAAGCTGGCGATGGTTTTTGACATCCTCAATGTATTACAATCGATCAGGCTGCTCGGTACGAGAGGACACTACACCATCGATCTTGCCGTTGGTGTTGGTGCGGGGATTCTCTTTGACTCACTGGCCGGGAAGTACGAAGAATTAAGCAGAAGACACCACCTAGGGGAGAAGACACCACCTAGGAACTGGTTGTAGTTTGATATCGAAAGACTCTCTAATCAATTTTACATGTGTTTTCTGTCAAATGTTTTACCTTAACACTAAATAGTTAAGTTGAAATTTAGTCTAATGACTTAATTATTTCTTCTTTAAAATGGTTCATTTAATACCGTTTCTTGAACATAATTATCGATCTAATTATGTTAAGGGGTTGTAGGTGAGTCTATTTAAATTTTATAGTCTCTACCAAGTTTTTTTTTGTTTTATCTTTCGATCGATTGCTAACGCTGTAGAATAGTAAAAAAAAAAAAAAAAGTGATTACACAATTGAATTGTAAAATAGTGGAAATTGATATGTTATAAAACAAATTAAATTTACAGATACCAAAAACCAGCGACTAATTTTTGTATGTACGTACTTCTTCACCAATTTTGGTGCAACATATGTTTTTGTTTTTCCATTTGGTAGGTCAAGATGGGTTTCGTGTGAAGTTAACGGGACAGGTACACCGATCCATGGTCATAAAAGTTTGGTCTCGTGAGAAAAGCAACAAATCACAATTTATTTATTTTGTCCTTTTTGTTGAGAAAATTATTTATTACTAATAGTCTTTAATATGAAACTCTGTTTATTAGTTAAACTAATAAATCGATCACGGAACAAACTCTTAGTCATTCAAAAAGAAGGCGATCAAAGGTACGAAGCAGGTTTACGGGCTTGGTTTGCATCAAGAGGACTTTAGTAGATTCATGTAATCTTTGATTCTGGTTTTATTTCAGCAACTTTTGCATATGATGTAACCAAACGTTATTTTTTCTTGAATTAATTTAACATTATATTAAAAAAAAAAAAAAAAAATCGATCACGTTGAGACCAATTATATAAACTTGAAAAATCAACATGTGTGGACATTGGACATTTATAAAACTCACCCTGTGAATTTTAGTCTTAGTGGAGTGGACAACCATCGTGTGAATCACATGAAAGTATAAGCATCCGCAAAACAAATGCTGCACATAATTATGATCTAAACTTATAGTTATGATATGTCAGGTGATTTTCTTCAAACGAGTTTTTTTTTTTTGTAATTTTATGCGGTAACAATGAGGATATAGCTACCGTCTCAAGAGATGAAATTGAACAGAATACAAAATGCTATGAATTGTTTACATATTGATAATCTCCAAATTATATATATTTTTTAATTAAACATCTGAAACTTTATTGAATTATGAGAGGTTGGTACAAAACTACAAATAAGGAAGCTAAGCAGCCATATTAGAGTTATATACACATTATTCGTACATACACAAGTAACGTGTTATTAAAGTAATGAGAATCTCATACTCTTCTCTCTTTTCATGTCGTCGAAAATATCATACTTGCGTAAAATAAGCGTGATTGTCGCTCTCTAGTCTCGTAGTCATCGTTTTCGTATGGATTTATTTTTTAAGCTCAAACAAGTTTCCTTCGGAATGTAATATCTTTATAAAACGTAACCCGTCTCTCTAACTCCCGAAGTGTCGCTCTCCGTTAATTGTAACGGTCATGTCAGACGCCGTAACCAAAACCGTCGCCCCTCTCCGTCGCAAACCGAACCCTCTTAACGGAAGACACACTAACGGCATCACCATCGACGGAATCATCGACGACCACGAAATGGAGAACATTGCGAAGAAAACCGACGACGGCGGAGGAGGAGAAGGAGAATGGACAAACAAGGCGTCTTTTATGACGTGGACGGTGGATGACTTTGTCTACGTGGCGAGACACCATTGGATACCGTGTTTATTTGCGGCCGGAGTTATGTTTTTTACGGTTGTGGAGTACACGTTCCAGATGACTCCCGCAAGTTCTCAGCCGTTTGATTTAGGATTTGTGGCCACGCGCTCTCTGCATAGCATTTTGGCATCTTCACCAAACCTTAACACCGTTTTAGCTGCTTTAAACACGGTAAAACATATACACATTATATATGACAATATATAGTACCTTCCCCATCGTATAATATTGACAACATGACATGCATGCAACACATATATAGAGATTGGTTAAATTCGTCTTTAAGTTTAATTAGATGATTTGGTTTGGTGGAGGACAGATTTTGGTAGGGATGCAAACAACGTATATTGGATGGACATGGGCAGTTGAAGGACGACCACGAGCGACCATCGCGGCTTTATTCATGTTTACGTGTCGCGGCATTCTCGGCTACTCTACTCAGCTCCCTCGCCCTCAGGTTCCACTCCACATATCTCTCTCTCTCTAAGAACATTTTTATATAGACCAAATTAAATATAGCATTACCTCATTTTGGACGTGTGACACCACTTTAGCCACAAATCGCATTAAAAAAAAAAAAAACAATTTTGATCCGGACTCTCATCATGAGAATAGTGTTCCACGAGTTGATTGACTGGACATCAAATAAAATATCACATTCTCATTTATTTACGTTCTACGGTTCTAGTCACTCGTTTACGTTCTACGGTTTTATAGTCAGACATTAAATGTAATCAATTTGACTCTTTTTAACAGGAGTTTTTAGGATCAGGAGTAGATTATCCGGTCGGAAATGTATCGTTCTTCCTCTTCTACTCGGGTCACGTCGCCGGCTCGATGATTGCATCGTTGGACATGAAGAGGATGCAGAGATTTAGGCTGGCGATGGTTTTTGACATCTTCAATGTATTACAATCGATTAGGCTGCTTGGTACGAGAGGGCACTACACGATTGATATTGCGGTTGGAGTTGGCGCTGGGATTCTCTTTGACTCTTTAGCCGGGAAATACGACGAGATGAGGAAGAGACACTTAAACACTACTCGTTTAAATTTGATCTCGAAAGACACTCTAGTACTCGATTGAAATCTTTTTTCTTTTTTTCCTTTTTCCGGAAAGTAATTGTGTATATTATATCAAATCTATTTCTTTTTTTTAAAACGTTTAGAAACACATTTAGATGAAGTCTAATGATTTAGATTTATTTTCTCTAAAATGGTTCTAGTTGAATACCATTGGTTTGAACCCACCTCAATGTGTACGTACGTGATTGTGAAGTTGGCTTAGGAGTTTTTATTGTATTCGTGAATTGTAGGGTCTTCGTACAACTATTTCAAATCCACATTAATTCTGTAGTCATGCGAAAATTTGGGTAGTTTTGTTACTTACAGAAAAAGTGTTTTCTTTATATTGGTCACTATTTTTGGGGCAACATGTTGTTTCCTATTGGTCTATCATGATGGTTGATGAATTACCGTATAGAAATAACGGGAGAGATAGACAGATAGATCCATGGTTATTAGTAGTTTGGCCTCGGCCTCAGGATTAGGGGGAATACAGATAGATCCATGTTTATTAGTAGTTTGGCCTCAGCCTCACGGCCTCAGGGTTAGGGGGAATAACAAGTTTCTAATACAAATTTTTTATATTAATTTGGTATTCAACTTATAAATAAATCAACAAGCTGTGAACATTTGTAATAGTATTCGTTTGTTGTTTTTTTTTTCTCTTTCAAAAAAAAAACCATTTGTAATCTTCTGTGGCTAAAGATATTGTAACTGTAAAGCTTTGTATATAATTTACTGTATTAAAAATCGACAAGTGATATCTTTGTATTCAAATACTGAAACTAACATAGGTGTGTCTATATTTACTTAATCAATAATTAGTTCTATTCCTCAGAATCGGATAACTCGAGGGGACAAGAGCCATCATCAACATTAGCGTATGGGTTGAAATGTTCCGAATTTGTATCCATGCACCCAGGAACCAGATCCAGATTGCATCTATCTCCCTGAAATTACATTTTAACGTTAAGTGTATTCATATTTTTTTATATAAAGATTTATAATATATTGTTTGGTGAGAGCTTACTCCTTCGACCGTCAAGTTGGCGATCATTGTGCAACGTGTGGCAACAACGTTCGAGTCAGGAAATATTGCTCTCTCGCAAGCTCCATCTTGGCTCAACTCGTTGGCTAGACCCTTTTTGCACCAATTGATAAATCATAAGTTGTGCATATTGCATATAATATAGATGACTAATCAAAAAATAAATTAAATCGAATAAAAATCATTATATACCTCATCGAAGAACTCGATAGGTTTGTTTCGCCATTGCTTGGGGACTTGAAACTGAAGTCTGTATGGACCGTCCCAATCGACACCGTTGGTGAACGAGAATATCAAATTCACAGCTGATAACGAATGATACACACGAAAGACGAAAAACATCACATATAAAAAACTAATTGGTTTGGTCACAAGAAAGAAATGCTTTGAATTTGATATTTGATTATACAAGAAAACGAACCATGTTTAGGAATGCAAATCTGCATAGTGTAAATTGGAGAGTCGGCTTTGCCTCGATCTTTCTTTAGCATTGCTCTTGGCTCCCCACCACACATGATTGGTTGGTTAAATCCTCCTGCACGAGTAATCAATTCACTAATTTTTTTCAGTTTTTGTTAGACCATAAGATTAGTCTATGTAGCCTCCGAACAACTCCACGGGATTTTTTTTGAATACAAGTTAATAATTAATTAGATGTTTATGAGATACTGACCGTTAAAAGCAACCCCATAGTCCTCGTTAAGAGTGAGTTTGCTTGCAGCTGGATTATAGAAAAGTTTCAACTTTTCACCCTACAATCCCAAAAAGATTTATTAGAAACTTGAGTTAAAGAGCCTTAACTCTAGTCATTCTCAGCATTGAAAAATGGCTAGAGAAACTTACTGCGGTTGGAGGAAGACCATTCATGGTTTTCCAGTACACTGGAGCAGTACCCATCTCGAACATTGCCCATGAAGGAAGCTTATATCTACCAAAAAATAATCAACCCCATGATGATATATGTTAGTTATTAGATTCATATAGTCATATCGACCAAAGGAACAGTACGAAACAAAATAAAGACATACTCTTTGATTTCTTCTTGTGGAGCAAGAGTTGTGGCAACAGCTTTTACTTGCAAATCAAGTTTCCTCTTTGGAAATCTCCTTTGTATTGGACTGATCGTTGGACTATACACTGTATTTATTACTCAAAAGGTTCAATTTTCACATAATACAAGCTATATAATCAAAGCATATAGTATATAGAATCAACATCAAAGAAGTAGGAACTTCAAGTGAAAAGACTTACAAAAACTGCGTTTAGAGGATAAAGCCTGCGAAGGAGAGGCAAAAATGGCAGCGGTATTAGCGGCAGCAGCCATGGAAACTGATCTGATTGAAATTTTTTTTTTTTTTTTTTGTTGGGGATGAAAGAAGGAGAAAAATATGGGAGTAATTTGATATATGACTTCAAGATAAGAGTTTTCTGACACCACAAATACAAATATCTTGATAGATTTTTTCATATACAGATAAAAACAAAGTTGAACAAAGACTTATGTTATCATCATTGAGAGAAAATATCAAATTTGAATTGTAATGGTAACGTTTCCCTTACACACTCTTGGGATCTTCTTTAATGGATAAGAAAAAAATGGGCCTATACATATATAAGCCCATAGGAAAAGACAAAAAGTAAGCCCGATTTGGGGTATCCAGAATTGTTTCCAAAAACAAAACATTGAGGCGGTTTGTTAAGTTTCCAAAAACAACAAGGGCTTTAAAGTAAAAAGCTAGAAAATTTTGAAGGGAAGATCCGCGTTGAAGATAACTGCCCCAAATTGGCAATCCAAATCCCTAGACCATCTTATCCTCATTCTCTGAATATCTAAGCCGCAATGTAGTTCGTGAACCACAAAAAAGATCAGAATCCTTTGCACGTCTCTGTCATAAACAACTATTACTACTTGTGAAGCATACAAAAAAGACCGACCCTAATTTATACACGCACACATATTAACATATACACTACATATCATATCAGATATATAAGGAGGGTTTAAGAATTCTTCTATTTCTTCTCTCTCTCGGCCAACAACCACATCGACAATGGCTTCTCTTCTTACGAAGCCTAAGCCCGTTTTCCTCTGTTCTTCTCCACGAACTCTACACGCGTCAACACCGTCATTGAGTTTCAGCAGAATCTCATTCACCCACCATCAAAAGCTTGCTCCTTTCAAGCTTCCTAGCCTCGTTGTCGCATTCTCTGAAAAGGGTCTGAAGAGAGATGTCTCCGCTGGAGCTGCAGCAACGGAGGGTGATTACAGGAGGATTATGCTGTCAGATGTGTTGGTGAAGAAGAAGGAGAAAGTACATTGGTGGGAGAGAGAATGGAAAGCTATGGATTTTGGAGCTGTCGCTGTGGTTTTGTCTATGCATTTGCTTAGTCTCTTGGCTCCGTTTCAGTTCAATTGGAGAGCTGTTTCCGTTGCTTTTGGGCTTTATATCGTTACAGGTCTTCTGGGTATTACTCTGTCTTTTCATAGGAATCTTTCACACAAAGCCTTCAAGCTTCCCAAATGGCTTGAGTACTTGTTTGCTTATTGTGGAGCACAAGCTCTTCAGGTGATTTGATGATAATGCAGAGTTGTTGAATGTGTAAAGCTGATTGATTTTGACCCCAAATTGTCTAACTGATGTTGTTTCTTCTTCAGGGGAACCCAATTGATTGGGTGAGTACACATAGGTACCATCATCAGTTCTGTGATTCAGACAGAGATCCTCATAGCCCACTTGATGGATTTTGGTTCAGTCACATGAATTGGATGTTTGATACCAATACAATCACTAAAAGGGTAACAATTTACCTTTTTCTTTCTCATATTAAGACTTGTCTGAAAATGGTATTCTCTGTTGTTTCCGGGGACTTAGATATTTTGTTTTTGATGTTTAAAGTGTGGAGAGCCTAATAACGTTGCGGATTTGGAGAAGCAGCCATTTTATCAATTCCTTCGAGACACGTACATTTTTCATCCCGTGGCTCTAGCGGTTGCTCTATATGCAATGGGTGGCTTTCCATTCATTGTTTGGGGAATGGTATGTTCTGTGGCTACAGTAATCGTTGCGTTTCAATTCTATCACTGCTAATTTCGAGAACTAGCTATATAGGATTATGACTTGTTTTGCTAGGCGAATTCTAAATAATCCCACCAGTTTTATGTGTAGCTATCAATTTGCTGGGCCAAATCTCCTCCTGATTTCCCTTACACAGCTTGCGTTTTCTTTGTCATTTAGTGCAACTTAGATTATTGACCTTAAGCACGCAAGTTGTGTTAGTTGAACAAAACAGAACCACAAGTAAATAACTTATCTTTCTTGTAAGAAAGGTTTGTGGTTCATGCCCTTCTCGTGAATGGACTAATTTCTATTTGCTTGTATTTCAAAAGAAACAACATTTGCATGCTAAAAGTGAAACCACATCGACAGGTTTAGCAATTTCGTAAACGGAACGAAAGGAAGAGAATATAGCAGAAGAAACTTGATTTTAACTACTCCAACACTTCCACAGTTTGGACTTTATTTTTTCGACCATAGTGTTTCTGATCTTTTTGTTTTTTGGGTTTTGCAGGGTGTAAGAATAGTATGGGTATATCATATAACTTGGCTAGTAAACTCAGCTTGTCATGTATGGGGGAAACAAGCATGGAACACCGGCGATTTGTCTAAGAACAACTGGTAAAACTCATCATCGATCACTGCTTAATCACGCGATCCATCTTAAGATCCACTAAAAGAAACTCGGAATTATAACTTTTCAGGTGGGTAGCAGCTCTAGCATTCGGGGAAGGATGGCACAACAATCACCATGCTTTTGAGTTCTCAGCTCGACACGGTCTAGAATGGTGGCAACTTGATATGACTTGGTATGTCGTTAGGTTTCTACAAGCCCTCGGTTTAGCAACTGATGTCAAGCTCCCATCGGAAGCTCAGAAACAAAGAATGGCATTGACCAGCGACTGATCTTGAAACTACGGAGTTAGAACTGTCGGTACTATGAAGATTAAGAAAAAAGGGTTTTGTGCTTCTTTTTTTCGTGTTTACATTAAGGTATATAAATATATATATATATATATATATCTGTGCAAGAGATTGTATGTGACAAACTGATAATGAATTTGAAATATCTATAATTACATACAATACAAAAGAAATGAAAAGGGATGGAAAAGATTCACGTTCTGTTTGGCCAAGATGTCCAGGGCAATTCTAGATACTCAACTGGTTTGGGCTTTGGGAACAATTCTTTGAAATCCAATTCTAGGCCTCTAAACACGATCCCTTTCGGGGTTGCCTCGTGAGCACATGACGAATGAGGGCACATCTTAGCATCAAGATAGGTGTTTTCGATCACGAGTGTGGCTTTTCCTAAGGCAGACCGGATCTCGCAGATGTGGATCGCCGGTATTTTGCTTTCGCCATCTATGAGGATGATTGGGAATGAAAATTGAGCTCCTGGCTTTGAAGCTCGATGCCAGCCATAGTCTTTGCGTTTAGACTGGCAACGATAGACTATCTCGGGGCGGATTAATCCTGTCATTGCGTTACGGATTGTTACGTTCATGTATACATAGCCGGGTTCCTCGAGAGCCACCGCGTTAGAAGAGATCATGATTGCTTGTAGAACAAGACACCATCGAGCTATGGTTTTGACGACGTTGTTGTTAAGATCCCTCATTTTTTTTTTTGCGCGTGTGTGTTTTCTATCGTTCGTGTTCGCCCTTAACTCAGAAATTTTTGTTGAAAATAGTACACAGCTTACTTGAAACCGAAGCTGTTAAATATTTCTTTTATATTCTCAAATAGTAACTAACTCATAGTTTTTTTTGGCCACGAACAAACAAATGGTTGCATATACTAAAAATGAAAGATCTAATTTTTGCTCGAAGCTGTCACGTACTGCATATAGCTTTATTAGTCTGTTCAAAATTTGTTTTTTGGGCCTGTGTTAATTGTGCAGACTCGGCCCAGAATGGGCTCATTAGTCTCACCAAGTCATCATCCTTCGTGCTCCTCACGTGATTTGTTTTTAAAGTCCTCCCACATGTATCGCCACGTCAGCAATCGTACTTCTTCTATGTGTCATATCATTACGTATAGCTCACGTTAACGCACAATTTGGAGATTAGGGTTGATATAATCATATCAAATCTTTGCACTGACGACCGGCAACTTACGCTTAATTTCCAATACTACCATCAAATTATATTTTTTTTTTATAGGAGAAGTTTATCTTGATTTCGCTAACTACGATAATGGTACACTTGCTTTTCAGGTTTGAACAAGTAACTATATACATATAATTAATAATGAAATAAAACTTGGGGGGTTTGATGATGGGCATATATCTTACATTACATTGAACGTGGGGGAGCAACCATCGTTACCATCACCAATACACTGATACATACTGTGATCCTCATACTCCTCTCCATGGATTTTTGTTCAGTTACTTCATCTGGATCTTTGACACTTCTTCTATCCTTCACAAGGTAATTAATGAAATGCACTCTCATAAATTATCGTTAACTAAAGTACAGAGGAGAGCTTAATCATGTGTTATACACAGTGTAGAGCTCTTTTATTTTATTTTATTATACGAAATCTTTTTATAAACTATGTTAAAATTCTTAAATCATTTAAAATTTATGTGGCAGGGAGTTAGAATTGTATTCGTATTACATTCCACATTTCTGACGACCGCAGATTCACATATATGGGGAACTCAGCCATGGAAAACTGGAGATCTCTCCAAGAACAATTGGTAGTTTTTTCATAAAAACGACTTTTTAAATACATATGTTTTCTATTTCTATAGTTTTTTTTTTTGAATTGCATCTAAAGTGTACAAATATTCACAAAATAAATGGATTCTGAAGGGGAAAGCTGGCGCAACAACCATCATGCGTTCGAGTTCTCAGAGAGACATGGACTTGAGTGGTGGCAACTCAACATCACTTGGTACTTCATTCAATATCTACAAGCTCTTGGATTGGCCACAAATGTTAAGTTGGCCACGCAGAAGCTCACAATCAGAGATTGACTTGCGCCGAATGATATGTTAAATATACAGTCTTCACATAATAAGTGAATGGACGAGGTGCTTTAATTTGAGGGAATAATAATACCAAATGTATTTATTATCTGCTAGTAAGCTTTTGTTTTCTTTGGTTTTGCATAATAATATATATTCATCTTTTTCTGTGTGTGTGTGTTTTTCAACGAATATTTTGAGCATAGAAAGAGTAATAATACTAACATTGATCACATGGATTCGAGTAATATAACATCCGGATCCTATAATTAGCATTTGGCTCTAGGAAATCTTTAGATCACATGAGTTATAAAATAAAATAAAAAGTAATAACAGTAACAAAAACTTATAGATGGATGGTGCACCGATATAAATGTAAACTTGCCAAAAAAGATAACCTACTTGTTCGGTGTCAATCAACCAAAATCATCGAATCCAGTAAACATAAGGTTCTATAAGATCTTGACAGTCCGCCGTAAGGTCGGTTTCACAAAGTATTCAATAAAATAAAAAATACATTATTTACGTACGGTTTCTTCGAATCTTTTTAATCGGTTACTCGCTCTGTTTCCTCTATTTTGTCGAACAACTGGTACTTAACGCTTATGTTGTGTCGATAGATAATTGGTTCGTATTTGTGTATTAATTTGTCGTACTTAATAACTAATAAGATACACGTATATACGTGGTAGTAGCCTAGCTAGTGCCCTAGTGGGCGAGACGTGCAAAAACTTGTAACCTTTTTTTTTTTTTGAGAAAGGCAGAAAGCTTAAAACTTACCAACCAATATTACTACTAAACTACTACGTACGAGAATTAGACATCGTGCTATCGGTAGCCACACCCATTTTTTCCTTTTATGAGAAGTTGCGGGAAATTCTATTATACTCATCCTAGAGGAATGAGTAAAATTTAAGCAAAACAATACCCATGAACGTTATATTTAAGTCAATTTTTTGTTTTGTTTTGTAAAACCAACAAATTTCTTTCAGTCAAGTATATTCTATATATAGTATAAGTAGCACACTCGATTGAGGCATTACTTTTCATAAGAACTTTACGACATGGTGTGTCTCTCTACAACTCCCAAACAGCTTTCTCTTTTTCCACCACTTGTTAAACAACGTAACCCAAGAAATAGCAATGCATTGTTCACACTTAACATACATAACTCTACAAGCTCTTTTTGGACCACACGAGGAGGACCCGTGGCTCACACGAAACACACGGTCGTGGCTGTTTATGATGCACCAGATCAGGTTGAGGGCTCCCGGAAGATACCCTTCTCGAAGGTTTTGGTGGTGAGAAAACAGAGGTCATTTCGGGAAAGGAGTTGGACTTCTTGGGACGTGACCAAGTTAGTCATATTCGTCGGGATTCATTTGCTGAGTCTTTTGGCTCCATTTTACTGCAGTTGGAAGGCATTTTGGGCTTTCCTTTGGCTCGTTTACATCAATGGAATATGCATCACGTTTTCTTATCATAGGAACCTTTCACACCGAAGTTTTGATCTGCCGAAATGGCTCGAGTATCTCTTTGCTTATGGTGGCGTTCTGGCTTTTCAGGTTTGGCATATATATTCCCACTGAACATTATATTAAGAAAGTCTACATATATTGTATGTTTAATCCTAACTTCTAAAAATTTTGTATGCAGGGAGACCCAATAGAGTGGGTGAGCAACCATCGGTACCATCATAAGCACTGTGAGACACAACGTGATCCACACAGTCCTACGCAAGGGTTTTGGTTTAGTCATATGGCATGGATATTTGATACGGGCTATATACTCGAAAAGGTATATTATTTATTGTGAAAAATATAATTAGACCATGTTAGGATGATTAAGTAATTATAGAATCAATGAACTCATAAATAGAACTTGATATTGTGGAAGAAATTCAAAGATGCATGATTACTTTAAAGATGTTGTAGTATGTAGTAAACTACCGTGTTTATATATGATTTTTTTAAGAATATGGTCGAATTTGATGAGATAGGGCCATACCGGATTTGAGTAGGTATGGCCCTCATAGAAATGGTTCTATACATTTGGAATAGACCTAACCTTTGACTAAACCATCGGGTACATGCACGCAGTGTGGTGGAGAGGAGAATGTACAAGACCTTGTAAGGCAGCCCTTCTATAGGTTCCTTCAGCGAACCGTGCTTTTGCATATAATGGCTTATGCCCTTCTCTTCTATTTTTGTGGAGGCATGCCTTTACTCGTCTGGGGAATTGTAAGGATACATACCATTCCTTATCTTAGTCTCAATTATAATGCTATTATCTATGCAAAAGATTATTATAAAGGTAGAAGTGAAATGATTAGAGAACAACATTGGCAGGGTGTTGCAATTGTGGTTCGACTCCACCTGACTTTTCTCGTGAACTCAGCTTGCCATATATGGGGAACACGAGCTTGGAATACACCTGACTTCTCCAAGAACAACTGGTACTGTAAATACACACATGTGCTAACTAAATAATGATCTTTTATCAAAGAAATAAAAAAATAAGACTTAAATAGTGATAATAACAATGATTAAATTGGTGGTGACTAAAATAGGTGGGTAGCGATTTTAACACTTGGCGAGGGATGGCATAACAATCATCATGCGTTCGAGTTCTCGGCCAGGCATGGACTGGAATGGTGGCAGCTCGACATTACTTGGTGTTTCATTAGGTTTCTTGAAGCTATTGGTTTGGCCACTAACGTTAAGTTACCAACTGAATCTCAAAAGAAAATAATGAATTTGGTCCATGATGGGTAAGCAAGCCTCCAAGAACATCCCATACAGAGAAGTAATCTGATTTGTATTTTCACTTGAAACTAGTATATTTATCACAAGCATAATTTTATTGTTTATTAGTTAATCATTCACAGCTTCGATCAGTTGGAATATATTTTTCCTTTTTTATCTCCAAATATATTAATGGATAGCTAACAAATTAAGCTCATTCCATAAATTTTTTTTCGGTTTATACGTATTCCAGTTTTATTTATCTGTTGGCGTTTTTTTTTTTAATATACAATTTGACGAATTAAAACTACTGCCATGCACAAACAATTTTATGCTATTTAAAAAAACTACTTATATTTGTAGTAAAATTTGTACATTTTTTTAGTTTGTTAAGAATATTTATTATGTTTGAAGATTATAAAGTAGTTGTGTTTTGGTCCATAATATCTCATTAGGTTTCTTGAAGCTATTGGTTTGGCCACAAACGTTACGTTACCTACTGAAACTCAAAAGAAGAGAATGACTTTGGTATGATCCTAAATTTATGTTTAAGAGCTTTTGATAATTCTCTCCTGCATTTCCAGAAAAAGAACCACTAATTCTTCACTAAATAGAGAGCTCTGTCATTTGAGTGCCTCCAGGTTGTTCTTAACCTTATCTGAATTAGCTAATCAAATATCTGTCTACAAACTTTGAAATCTAAATAAATAAACTGTTGGGAGGGGAACTCTATAATGATAATAATAATAATAATAATAATAATAATCTTGAACGAAACCGTTTTGTAAAACACTAGAATTAATGTAAGAAACTGCTGATTCACCTTTTCACCTAATATGAATTGAGTAAGAAGATACATAACCTACAATCTCAGAGCTCTCCTCTGTATAATAATGACTTGGGAGGCTACATCATGCGAGCTTTTGGTGAACAGACTCAGCCTCACCTCGGTTGTTGATCTGACCCGGGTGCTGAGGAGACACTTGGTCCTGCACCATTTTCTGGTGGTGGGGACGTTCCCCACTGCTCCTCTGGACCTGGTGGTTCGATCACGTGGACCCCACCATCAGTTAGTCCAACTGCAAATTGGTTTGGTTCAGAAGGATGAGCTGCGACTGTTGCTGGATATACTCTCGAGCTGTTCAAAAAAAGAACAGATGTTACTGATGTTGTGTTGGTCTTAACACCGAAAAAGTTGAAATATTGCAGAGGTTTCTTACCTCAGGTTTGAAGGCAAATATGAATTGGGACCAATGCGGCACTTCAGTTGCAATGTTGTTGCCGTCAAGATATTCACACTTCCATCATCAAAGGTTGCGTAGATTGACTGGCTATCACATGAGTATACAGCATCTGTGACTGAACCACTTGACTCCTTCGGTATCCACTGCATTAAGAGGGAAAGAAACAGATCAGGCTTTAAAGGACATTGACAAATCAGATATATAAGGACATTAACAATTCATTGATGTCATGCTCTATGAGACATTTTAGCAGCAGACCTGCTTCATGTTATCTAATTTAGGAGCCTCAAATATGGCTAACTGGCTGGCATGGATAACAAGCACATGTGTCTGGTCGTGATGGAACTGAACGCGTGTATGAGCAAGTGGGTTTGGTGAATGCCCGCTTGGAATTTGTATCTGTTTGCTAGCTTGCTTTTCCCATCCATCCATGCTCCATACACAAAGCTATACAGATAAAAACATTTATTTTAGGAAAATGATAACATCGCAGATGAAAGAAGTGGCAGCGGGAATATATTACAACCAATACAGCATATAAGCATACCTGAGAATCAGCACCAGAGGAGACAAGAACATTTAGAACGTTTGAGAATGCTAAACCAGTCACTCTCTTCTGATGACCTTTCAATTTACTTTTAACCTGCATGGTTCATTACCATCCAAAAGCTGTTTTCAATATTTGTTTCCATGACGAACTTATAAGTCTTTTTAACAGTTTCAGGTGAGTTGGGATACCTCATCGACTCTGACATTATAGATTTGAATAGACGAGTCATCCATTCCGATAGCAATAATATTATTGTCTTGAGGATGGAAGGCAAGGGAAGTCGCTGCTGGAGGAGGCGCCATGAATGTGGTCATCGTCTACAAAGAAAACAGAAAAAAATAAAGTAAGTGATGAAACACAAAGCTTAAAGCCAACCAGAGGAACACTAGGACATGGACGGACCTTAAAAGTCATCATGTTGAACAAGGAAATTTTTCCTCCTGAGGCTGACATGACATAAGAATCATTTTTTGAGAGTGCAAAGCATGGAACTACATCTTCATTGTTTCCCTCGCGTGTGTCATTTGTCATTAGTACTCCACTAGATGGCTGCCAGAGTTGTGGTGGGACATTGCTGTTTGCCTAAACAAGAAAAAACCATACAACAAGCTATAACTATCGAGTTCCAAATCCGTCATCCAAATCCGCCACTAGACGTTGTATCAAAATGACTATGATGTACCTTTCCTAAAAGATTCCGCTCACTCTTTTGCCATTTCCATAATTTATGTGCAGCATTTTCTGCTAATGCCAGTATAGCACCTCCAGAATTTGTATATATTAACTTAACAACCTGCGTTAAGAAACAAGATGACATTATGACCAAGATAAGAAGAAAGTGTCCAAAAAAAGGGCTCCAGAAATAAAATCTATGCAAAGGAAAATTAATATTAGATATCCAAAGGATTAAACATGACTTAAGCTTAATTTGAGCAACCTGTTAAAATATAGAATTGCATATATAATGAAAGGTCATAAACTAATTCTTGTAAGGAAAGGTCTGTAACACAGCCTAGTTGGAACGAAACAGTAACATGTTTGAAAATAGATTGGATACATACTCTTGCTGGTAGCAGGCTGTCAGGAAGCCGCAGAGTATGAAGCTGGGAACGTTCGCTGATCTCTGTCAGCTTCCAAGTCTTTGATTTCTCTGCTTCATCAGGGATTCTTGGTTTGACATCTGGCATACTGCGATTATCTCCATTCTAAAAAAGAATAATTGTGAATGAAATTAGCAGAATTTCAGTTAAGTGACAGTGTTTTCTTTTGAGGTGTTTGCATGAACTTATCAGTTCTGCTTTCATCTCTGTCAACTTCACTAAAGAAACGAAGTGGAAATTTTAAATGGTCAACTATCTACAATGGGATGATATGAAAATATCTAACGAATACACTATCTGAAAATAATTTACAGGTGTGATTACCATTCCAGTAACAGATGCCACTGGTCCACTTCTTTCAGCCATAGATAGACTCATTCCAGTGCTTGAACTTGGAGGGCCAAATGTGCCAACAATAGGACCCTAAAAAAAAAAAAAATGCACTCAGATCAGATTTGTTTTTTTCTGCAATTGCACCCAGACAGAGCAGAAAAGGGAGATATAATGACAGGTGTTTACCTTTGCGACTGAACCAGGAGGAGCTCTAGAGCTGTCAAGGCCACTGTTTGCCATGGAGTGCAAAATCCTGGAACCTTCAGCATTCGCTAGTATCTTAATTCCATTATCAGTAGTTGAGACAGCCAGCAGCGTTCCTTCTTTATTAATCCTTAAGCAAGGCGAAGACTATTGATATTAAGTTAGCAACCAATTCATTCAAAGGACAATAGACCAACAGCGATTGAGATAGATATAGATAGTTACCGGCAATCCCCCATCTGCAGTCGTTGTACTCAATACATCAACACTATCCATATCCCAAAATTTGACTTGGAACTCATCACCAGCTACCAAAAACTTGTTCTTCATGGTATCGAACTGGACAACCCCCACAGACCGTTTCCCCAGTCCAACATAAGTCCGCTTCACAGCTCCTTCACTTTCATTCCATTCAACAATGAATGATTCCCCCTCCTTACTCGTACCACAGGAAAATAATCTACAAACAACAAGAAGATAAAAAAATATGAACAGAAGGATGGGTATAGCATAACAAGGAATATAATATTACAGTGGGAATCATTTACCTAGTCCCATCAGCACAATATGCCATTGCCGTGCAAGATCGACCGGGAGCATCATAATCCACTCTAGAACCCATGTTGTCATATAACCAAGCCTTTATTTTCCCATCAACAGCAGTTGAGAATATGAACTGAAGAAAAAAAAAAATCCCCTTTATAACTATCTCAACGGCCAAAAAAACCTATAGTGCACTAAAAGATGTAGAGCCCCAAACATAAAATTACTCGCATCACTATACAGAAAAGTACAAGAAAACGAGTTTCAATCTTAAACAATAAAGAAAGAAAGAGTGTGCTGCAGATGCTTCCATTAGCAAAAACATAAACTTGGCAAAAGCTGCAAGTATGGGTAATTTGGAATTCTAGTTGAGCAACAAACACCAAATAGACACTTAAGTAAACTACTTCATCTCATGGAATGCCTTAAGAATAGCGAGCAAGAGACACTTTATGCATTCTACATTACCTGAATATTCTCTTTCTGGTGTGGGCACACCGAATAAACAGGTGCCTCATGACCTTCAAAGGTGTGCAATTTATTTCCGGTGACAGCATCCCAGACCTGTATAGAAAGCATTTATATACTGGAAGCAGGATGGTTTCATTATATAAATGCAAAAAATTAAGCCAAGATGCAAACCTTAATTGTCTTGTCTTCTCCACAAGTCACAACACATAATTGCTGGTTTGGTTGGGAGAAAGCAAGATCGTTGACATTACCAGCATGAGCATCAATCTATACGGGTAGATAAAAAAAAAAACATCAGCGTGTTGGGAACTCAGCTATTATAAAGATCCAAAAATGCTGAACAGTGATATAAACATATATCCACAGATCCAAGAATGCTGCTCAGTGATAAAAACAAACAGGACCCAAAATAAATAAAAACTATATTATCAGAATACTACAGAAAAAGAAAAAATAACAAGCCAAGGAACTATAAATTCTTCCAGTGTAGATTCCATGCTTATATCCACATATAACATTGAATATCACAAAAAAAAAACATAAGAGGATTAATGATAACCTAATAGGAAAAGAGGCAGACGTTGG